CTTTAGGACTGAGCTACATCCCCAGCCCAGTATTACCATTCTATCTCTTCAAGGCCCAAGAAACCAAAGGCCTTTGATGTTTGCAACTGGAATTGCAAGACTTGCAACCTGATAAGAAAAAAAAAAAAAAAAAAAAAAAACCCAGGGGCTGAAGGGCCAATCTGTAAGCTCAAACCCATGAGGCCACCACCAGCCTCACAAAAACAAACTAACTTGTCCCTGTTGGTTTATATGTCAAGTGAGTTGTCAGAAAGCCATATTTTATTTGGATAAAGACCCTGAAATTGAGCAACTCTGCAAGCCGACAGTAACCCCACCTGCTCAGCCAAGGTGAGCTGAGCACCTCTTGCCCCTCCCCACCTTGCAGCAAGGGCCTCCTTCAGGGACCTTCAGTCACATTTTTAGGCCAATTAGAGGCATCTGGGCCGCATCTCAGCCACATCCGTCCTGCTCCTCAGAAGCAAGGGGCAAGTGAGCTCCCAGCCACCTGGAAGAGACATGTGCACTTTGAAAAGCGGGGTGTGACAGCCACCTCACTGCCTTACCTTGCCTGGCTCAGGGAGAGCCCAGAGGTACAGTCCCACCGTACCTGTGGGAGGAGCCTGCAGCCGCAGGGCAGGAAGAGAGGCCTGTAGATGCCACAGTGCACCAGCTAGGGAGACCAAAAGCAGAGACCTGAGAGTCTGCAGGGCAGACTCAGCACACTGGGGAGAGGGGGAGACAGAGAAGAGTCCCAGAGAAGAGAGCGCCCTGCCTGCTTCTTCCCTGCTAAGACAGGAAGAAGTGAGTGTCACTGGGATGGAGCAGGGTTTCTCAGAGGGCTTGTCCTCAAAGAGGGTCAATAAAATTAAAGCTGGCTCCAAACTGCCCTGCAGCCTGCCCCATGAGGTCTCCTGGCCCCCGGCCTCTTGGGAACTACTTCCAGTCAGAGGCACAAGATGGAATTTAGAAATCCACAAGGCGAAAACTTCCCACAGGTCTTGTGCCTACTCTGTCAACCCCACTTCTTTTTGGGCCCAGGAGTGACAAGGGACAATTCCAGAATCATCATGCTTGCAAGGAGAAGGGAGGGAGCATGGTCAGCTGAGGCCTTTAGCAAGAGTTGCTCCTTGTCTAGCAAGCGCCCACAGAGAAGACAGCAGGGGCTTCCCAGAGAGGATTCTCCCACCCGTGTGCACAGTGAGGGAGAAAGGGGTGCTGTAGCTGAATTCAGACATCTGTAGTAGAATCTGCAGCTGCCTGCATGAGCGGTACGTGCATGTGTGCGTGCATGCGTGTGTGTGAGTGTTGTAGGACAGTAGAAAGAAAGTATAAGTAGCAACGGTTGGCTCCGATCTGGTGATACCTTTGTGCCTGGCAGTGCAAGTTACTTTCACACAGCATTTCTGTCCCCCAGCCAGACTAAGGCCGCCTTCCTCTAGGCCCTCTGTCCCAGGTCCTGTCTCCTTCCTTCTCTGCAGACTTGCCTCCATCAGAAATTAACGGAGGGGGGTGTTGTGTATCTCACAGCCTCTCCCTTCACTCTGCCTGTCTGCCTTCTGGATAGAGGAGGTAGAGCAACTTCTAGTCCCAAGAGAAGGTGGGGAGGTTCTGTAATGATTCCTCTCTCTTCCCAACATTTGATTTTCTTTACCTCTTAGAACAGCAATTAACCCTATTAATAATTACCATCAGGTCTATATTCAGGATCATGTCCCTCTACTAACATAACTTCAAGTTTATTAAGTCACCCTTTATACCCTGGGTCCCTTTCAAAGTTTCACTCCATTACTTTCACACTGAATGGCGCTATGCCCAATTCCTCCTTCCTAAAGGTATTTCCTCCACACTCCCAACAACCTCACACGGCTATTTGCCTTGCTGAGTCTAAGCTAAGGCCTCTTCCACCCTGCTCAATGTTGGGGCAGCCACAGGGACTATTCCACAGGTTCCTTGCCCTCTTGGCTTTTTGTTGGGTATGACCAAGGGGGAACCCCAGGAGGAGAGAGAGGGAGGCAGAAGAGTGAGGATCTGGCACTCGTTTCCCCACTTCCCTCACAGTAGGGTCCTTTCAAGCCGGCATGGTCCTGGTCAAAGGCACTCCTCTCCACACAGTCTTACTACCTTAAAAAAAGTCAGGTAGTCATTTCAGTTTTACCAGCCAAGGCCAGTTGTCCCACACTTGGTGGATCCTGAGCTGCTTCCTAGTTGGATCCTGGTACCACTTTCTAATATTTTATGATTGTTCGATAAACTTAGACTGAATGGAGGTGCAAAGGATAGTTTCCCAATTCCCACCGCCGGTGTGCGTGAACTACCGCAAGTGCTAAGATTGCATCCTCACCTGTGTCTTCCTTGTCATTATTTGGTTCGAGTTTAGCCTTTTCACATTTATAAAAGGACACCTGGTGGTCAGTACAAAATCATAATGCTATTTTTATAGTCAAGATAAATATAATCATTTAATCATTCTGTACTACAAACATGTAGTAAGAAAAATTTTAAAAGAAATTTAACATTAATGTAGAACTATTATCTAAAACACAATTCCCTACCACTTTGTTTGTAACTCCGTACTGTCTCTACTGTTCCTTTGCTATTTTGTAAAATGTTGTCTGTCTGTTAATGTTTTCCTCCTTTTATTAAAAAAAAAAATACACTACTCCACGTTCACATTTCCTGAATTGCCCCAATAATGTCTTTAATTTTTTTCTTTTGGTCAAGAATTCAGTCAAGGATTACACATTGCACACCTGGTTATTCATATTGTCTCTTTCTGTCTTTGTCTCTCTCTGTCTCTCTCTCTCTCAAAAATGTGTTATTTTTTTGACCTGGGAGTCGTGGAACATGCCTGTAATCCCAGAACTCGGGATTGCCATGAGTTCCAGGCCAGCTTGAACTATATAGTGAGTTCAAGGACAGTCTGCACTACATAGCAAGACCTGGTCTCAAAAATGCCAAAAAGATGTGGGGGGGGGGTTGTTTTTTCTTTTTTTGTACCAGGAATCGAACTCAGGACCTTGTGCTTGCCAGGCAAGCACTTGTTCTGCTAAGCTATAGCCCCAGCCCATAAGGGTGTTATTTTTAACTTACATATAACAATTGTACATATTTTGGAAATAGAGTACAATAATTTGATAGATGTAGACAATGTGTAACAATCAGATCAGAGTAACTAGCATTTCAACTACTTCCATACTTATCATTTCTTCGTGTTGAGAAACTTCAAACTACTCTCTTTATTTTGAAATATATAACAAATTGTAAATTGTAATTACCTTATATATTAGTTACCTTTCTATTGCTGGGGGGAAAATAACATAACATATGCAACAAAAAGGAGGAGAGGTTTACTTTGGTTCACAGTTTCAGAGGTTTCAGTCCATGGTCTGCTGGCTCCAAATCAGAAACATCGCAGCAGAAAGGCACGGCAGAGGAATGCCGATCACTTCACGGCAGCCAGGAAGCAGAGGGAGGAAAACAGCCTGAGAAAAGATATACCTCCAAAGGCATCCCTCCATGACCTACTCCCTCCAAGTACAGTCTACCTAATAGCTCATTCATCAATTAACTCATCAATGGGTTAACACATTGATGAAGTTAGCACCCTCATAACTTAGCCACCTCTGAAAGTTGATACACTGGAGATGAAGCCCTCATACATGAGTTCTTTGAGGGACTGTTCATATTTAAACCACAACACCCTACTATGCTATAGAACACTAGAATTTATTTCTCCTATATAACACCAGAACCTTATTCCTGCTATCTAATACTAGAACTTATTCCTCTCATTTAACACTCGAACCTTATTCTTCCTGTATAACACTAGAACCATATTCCTCCTGTCTAACCACACTGATTCTCATTACCCACCTTCTCACTAGCCCCACTTCCCCCTACCCTTCCTAGCCTTTAATAGCCCACTATCCTCTCTGCTTCTATAAAATCAGCTTTTAGCCTCTATATGAATGACATTGTGTAGTACCTGTTTTGTGATCATCAATTGATTGTGTCAATTTGAGTAAGAAACACCCAACTACATTAGATCAGCATAGTCTTGCACACAGATTTTGATACCAAGAGCAAGGATCATTGCTGTGACATTACCTGGCTGTGTGGTTCAGAACCCTTTGGAACTGGCTTGCAGGAAGAGATTGGAAAGGTTTGGAGATGCCAGCTGAAAAAGCAGCCCTGGGATGTTGTAAGCTGAACTTGATGGGAGATTCTGGTCAGAGCTCAGAAGACCACAATGCTGATAGAAACACAACCAGTGAAGATTGGGCTCCGGAGGTTTCAGCTGAGAACAAGGCCTGCCCTGGTTGTTGGACTCCAGACCGTGCATGTTACGCTTTGGCAGAAAGTTCGTCTGCATTTTACTTATTTCCAGAGACTTTCCAGGAGACTGAGATTAAATGTGGCAAACTAATTAATCTGGCAGAAGATATTTCAAGGCAATCTAATGTTGAGGCAGTGGTATAGCTACTGTTGGGGGGCTTTTAGCTAGATATATATTGAAAATCAAAAGCAAAGAGCCCAGAAGAATGATTTAAAACATTTTGAGTATGGCAAGAAAGGAAGCTCTAATAAAGTTACAGCCTGCAAAGAAGGATCAGGGGAGAACTTGGCTACTGAAAAGAAACAGGACAATAGAAAAGGTGCTCTGAAGGCATCACAAGAATCAGCAGAACTTCAGCCTTTGCAGCCTCAAAATTGCAGAAGTGAAAGACTTTGCTTTGAGAAGAGTGATGTTCCAGAATGGTGGCAGTCTAGAGAATTTGCTCCTCTGGATTGGGTTCATAGCACTGAGCAATCCAGGCACTCGACCACTATAGCCAAGAGAAAAGAAAGCCTGGCTACTGCTCCAGCTGGCAGCAGACTTTGGTATCATCCATGCAGTGCTGGCTTTGGGTACATGTAGAAAGGCTTCTGCCCAGATTTCAGAAGAAGACCTGGGAGGCCAGGCAGTCTGAGCCTAAGAGGGCAGTGTGTGAAGCTGTGAGTGTGATGCCAAAGGTGCAGTAGAGATGTCAGAAGGTTGGAGAAGCCAGGAATGTGGACCATCTGAGGAAAGCTGTAAGGAGTGAGCAAACCCAGCTTAAGAGAGAAGCCATAAGGACTATAGCCACCCACAGTGCTGTAGGGGCAAAGCCACCTAAGCCTTTTGGAGCTCATCTCTTGCCACTGATTGCACTGGATGCTGGACATGGAACTATGGAATTTAATGTATGCTTTGCTGGATTTTGGTCTTGTTTTGATCCCAATCCTTTCTATCCTATTTCTACCTTTTGGAATGTGAATCTTCATCTTGTGTCATTGTATGTTGGAAGTATTTAACTTTCTTTTCATTTTTACAGGGGCTTGCAACTAAGAGCTTGCCTTAAATCTCAAAAGAGACTTTGGACTTGAATTTTTCAGCAGTGCTGAAACTATTAGGACTTTGGCAACTCTTAGAGATGCACTAAATGTCTTTTGCAAAAAGGGATGTGCATGACTCTTTTGCAGGCCAGGGGTGGAATGTTATAGTTTGTATCTAGATGTCCCCCCAAAGCCTTATGCAGATGGAAGTGGAGCTTTGCAGAGGTGTCTGGATCTAGAGTGTGGTGCTAGGATTAAAGGTATTTGGTGCTAAATTAGCCCACTGATTGGTTTAACATAGTTCTGAGTGTGGCTGAATGGACTTATTGAAGACAGAAGTCTTATTCTGGGTGTGGGTGACGCCATCCAAAAGGCTTCTAGCTTGCATGGGATAAAAGAGAAAGGAAGGCTTGCTGCTGCAGTTTGCTGCTTGCCACACCATGAACTGTTTCATCTCTTTGGTACCCACTTTGCGATGTCCTGCTGCCTTGGAGTCAGCCGACTATGGATTGAAACCTCTATAAACTGAGTTGAAATAAAACTCTCTTCCTTTAACCTTGGGTGCTGGGTATTTTGTCTCAGCAATGACTGTGTCTGGCTTATTTCAGTTAACATGATGTACTCTAGTTTCACCTTCACAAATGACAGAATTTCCTGCTTTAAAGCTGAACAATACCTACACCGAATCTGTTGACACCTTGAATTTAGACTTCCCAGCCTCCAGAACTGTGATTTAAAAAAATGTATCATGTAAATGACCCAGTTTATGGTATTTTGTTATATAGCAGCCTGAACTAAGGACCTACCCTATATAAAATACTCTCAGTTACTTCCCTCTTGATTTCTGTCCTCTTTAACCTATTTGATTTTCTCCATAGTGCTTATCCTTATCTGTAGATATCTAATGGATACCTACTACTTATAATATGAAACACAGCTGCTATGACATTAAAATTTCACAGACATTTTAGATTCATTCAATTATATTTTAAGAGTTTCCAAAATTATTTGCACTCTATAGTCCTGCTCAGCAGTCACATGTTAATAGCGCCCAAAGATTTGAGCTCAAATCAAGCATTGTTTAGAAAGACCCATACTCTGTATTAGCATACAAAAGTTCAGTCGTCAGTTTCAGGTGCTTTCACATGCTTATACTAAAATATTAATGCTCTGTAGTTTGTGTATTTTTCAAAAGAAATTGCAACATTAGGATGTGAGTTTTATCTTGATTCTGCCATATATAAAATAGAAAACCCTAGAATGACTGTGTTTTTTTATTTTGGTTACAAATGCCAAGTGGATGTATAGGCGATTCGGTTTTGTGCCATATTCTATTTGGCCTGCAATGCCAAATTTGCACTTTCAGCCAGCAAGAAGTAGAACAAAAGCAGCATTAAAATTCCCTGCTCAGGGCTAGGTGGGGAAGGAAGCTCAAACACAACCACACATGATTCGATCACAACTGCCTTAAGATACAACACACAAGCTCCGCTTGTCATGACTGGTAGGGACTATGAAAGGCATTTCAGTTGGAACAAAATACTCAGTGCATTTGAGATAAGGAGTAAAATTGTTTTTGTCTTTCCATGAGTTTGTGTAACTTTAAAAGCAAACATTTTCAACATTTGAAAAGGCTCCTGAGTTATGTTGTGCCCTGTGGGTAGCCAGGGCCTGAGGTCTTAACAGGGACGGTACACAGGAACACCAAGAGCTTCCACAGGGGCTCCAGCCCTTGTCTTCGCCTGCAGATGTCGCCATCCGAGGAGCAACTCAGTAATCAGGTGGCTCCGCTATTAAGTGCTCTAGAATTCGTTGCTGTTCTAATTTAAAGGGGACCGCGACCCTTTTGTGGTCCAGTCGCATAAAATATTTTTTAAAAATGAGGGACCCTTACCGACAGACACTGAGATAATTCTCATCTTTGTCAGCAAATATAAAATATATAGAAAGCTTTAAAAATGCATTTATGGACCTTCTCGCTATACTAATCAAAACAAAACCTCTGGGGTCAAGACTCAGCTATTGAGTTCTTAAATTTTTATTAGTACAAGTTTGTGGTTACGTTGTCGTGGGGAGTTGGGACACACACATAACACATCTTACTGCTTTTTGCGTCCCCTTCTCCTCCCTGCCCACCATATCTTGGTCCTCTTCCTAGATGAAAAGACGTATCTCCCTGTTCCCTATTATCTTTTATTTTATTTTTTCGTTTATTTATACTTTGGGTTTCTCATAGAAGAAAAACCATGCAGTATTTCAGCTTCTGTGTCTAATTTATTTCACTGAGCATTATGGCCTCAAGTTGCCTCCATTTTCCTACAAATGCCTCAGATTTATCCTTCTTTAT